TAGAACACCCACTCTTTGGCCAAACCCTCTCGACACTCACCTTCCTACCTCAACCCTAGGCAACTAAGGCTTGAGTTAGGAACCTATTTCAACATGGTATTCAGAGTAGGCCGTTCCTAGGCCTCGTTTTATGCTCGTCATGGCGGCGCCTCGAGTCGCGCTGCACGTCGAGTCGCTGCTGATTGTCACAGCGGCGAGCTGCGCAATGGCGAGATCCGTCGCCCCGTGTCGTTTCGTCGCCCCACGGCCCCCGCGTCGCCCCACACCGTTTCGTCGCCCCGCGGCCTCCCCCGTCGCGTCCCTGGCTCGCCTCTCCCGTCCCGCACGCTACCCCTTCGCCTACGGCCACGTCGCCCCGCCGCTGGCCGCGAACGCGAGCACCGACGCCAGCGCCGAACGCGGCCACCAGCGCTAGGCGCCAGCGCGGACGCCATCGCCTGACGCCGACGGGTACGCCAGCGCAAGGCGCCAGCGTGGACGCCAGGACCCGGTGCCAGCGCGGACGCCAACGCCATCGGCAGCCCACCCCCCACCTCCCCCCCTTCCACGGCTTCTGCCGTGGGGGAGGGGAAGAGGTTGCGGGAGGAGGGTGAGGGGAAAATGGGGGAGTGTGAGGGGGTGGCGAGAGAGATTTTGCAAAGCCAGCAGCCGCCCCTCCTCTCTCTCTCACTGCCGCTCGTGCTGCTGTGGGGGGGAGGGTAAGAGAGGGTGGCGGAAGTCAGCCAGGCATCTGCAGCTGCCGCCCGCTGCTACCGTGGCACCTCCTGCTGCCGCCACCTGCCGCTGTAGGGGGACGGTGAGGGGGTGGCGGAAGGGGTGAGGTTCGGGTGGCGGCTGAACAAGGGGGGGATGAGGTTTAGGGGGGTGGCTGAAAGAGGGTGTGGACTTGGGGGTTTGTAAGACAGGCTCGCCGCGCTTAGCTCCCCCCACCTCCTCTCCTCCCTCTCTCACCTCCCCCTTTGTAAATGGGGGGTTCGTAAGAGGGGTTCGCCGTGTGACTCCCCCCCACCTCCTCTCCTCATCTCTCTCTCTCTCTCAGCTCCTCCTTGGTCAATCGGGGGCTCGTAAGAGGGGTTCGCCGCGTGGCTCCCCCCCCACCTCCTCTCCTCATCTCTCTCTCTCGCCTCCTCCTCCTCACTTACCACTCCGTTTCTTCCGCTGCGCATGTTGTACCCCTTCAGGGGGGTTTTTTGCAAGTGGTTCTTCACTGCAGGCAGTTAGGGGGTGTGTCAAAATCTAATTGTATACATTATTCTATAACTGCATGTAATGTAGACTTGGTGTAGTGCTAAACTTGTTTGGTGGTGCACCTTGCTTGCTCTGCCTATATCCTTGTACCTTCTCTCCTTATTGAACAACTTTTTGACTTGCACTTTCCTCTCGCTACTTTCCTAAGCCCAAACCCTAGGCTTAACTAAGGTTCCTATTCAGGGCCCTCGCTATCAGACATTTTTGTCTGTTTTTCTGAGGAATAAGACGGATTTTTTTTACGTAATCTGATTTTTAAGAAATGGAACGTTTGGGAAATTTGATGAATAAGATATGAGATTCCCATTTTGTCTGATGAAAAAGATGTGCGTGTAGCTATTCCTCTGATTTTCCAGGCACTTGTATCAGTTCCGTCTGAAACCGACTTTTATACAGTCTGCCGTGATTGACGCGTGATATGGGTTAGCTGCGCCAATCACAGCACGATCAGTAGACCTGTATGCGTGATTGCGGTGACAGCGCAGCGGAGCGCACTGACAGAAGTCAAGTGCTGGCAATCTGGCGCACGTCTGGCCAACTTGGGCCACATTGAGACGAAAGTGGAGCAAGTCTTTCTGTTACTGGTTCACTTTCACGCCAGCGCATGAGTTGTGTGGATTGCAGAGCCTCGCGCGACTCGCACCGACTGTTGCCCAACGTCCCGCTGGACGAAGGATGGAGTGGGGCACCCGCGGTGCGTTGTAAGATCATGCATGCACCTCGTTCAGCTGATAATGCTCGGCTGGCTCCCCCTCCCTCTCCAACGCTCCTTTCACTCGCTAGCACAGGTGAATTCTTTCCCCTGCTCTCTCTACCGTCTTGACAACATCCTCCTAGGGCCCTGTAGCCATGGATTGTAGGGACGATGATGACCCTGCTAGGTCGCGTCGTCCACTTACTGGTCTCGACTTTCTGAGAGGCGGTCCGCCTACCGCCACGCCTGAAAGAGATCCGCCTGTGCAGCCCCCAGTTACCAACAACGAACCAACGACAAGCACGGAGCCCTGGCCGGATTTTAATCAGCGGCAACAGCTGAGCGATCCGCCTGTGGAAGAGTCGCCCACTAGAGCGACCGGGCGCGTCGCAACTCCCACGGTCAGTGCTGTCCAAAGCGCAGGCGTCTCCCGGTTCCCGAAGTTCGGGAAGTTCACTCAATCGACTATTCGGTTTGCTCGAACTCGCGTACCTCATGTGCGCCTCACGCAAGGAAGGTCGCCCTCTCCCGCAGCTGCTGCTACTCCGCTGACTCCAGCGACTGGCACGAGCAGGGTGCCTTCGGATCCAGGGCCGTCCAGGCCGTATATTTTGGTTCCGGATCCTGACGCGCTTCTCGAAGAACTGAAGAAGAAGTGCACCGACATCTGGCAACGTCGTTTCCCCTGGCTGCTGATATCACAAAGGTCGCCCGTGCATGAAGTGCAGTGTCTGCATCAGATACGGACCGCCACACTGGCAGTACGGCAAGGCGGGCGAGGGTGGCGTGGACATCCAGAAGCAGACCATGCGCAAGCATGGTCTGAGTCGCAAGCATCAGGACGCCCTTGATCGTAAAGCCCGGGCCAAAGGAGGTAAAGTTTCTCAACGAGGGATTGATGAGTATGAGGACGGGGTGGGGGAGATTGAGCGTTTGAAACAACTTCTATTAGTGGTGCTTTTCATATGCAAGTCGGGTGCACCTATTGCGCTCTTTGTTGGCCTTGTGCACCTGCTACACGTTCTGAAGACCCCCAACATTCCCGACAAGGCCATCGGCACCTACCAGACAGAGTGAGTAATGCAACGTGATGTGATGTTTAGGTACTCATCATCATTGACTTATTGTCGTGCTTTTTATTATGGCAGATATGGGTTTCGGGAGATGACCGAAGCCATGGTGCAGCACCTGAAGGCCTGTCAGATGCGATACATCCAAGAGTCGCCCTTTCTCGGGATTCAGCTCGACGAGTCGACTGATCGGAGGAAGGGCAAGCATCTCATCGTCTACCTAACCTTCATGAAGGAGGAGAAGGCGGTGACCGAGCTTTTCGGGCACCTAACTGTGGAGAAGGGCGACGCTTCATCTCTGCTCGCCGTCTTGCTGGCGCATCTGGACTGCAACGGGGTTGACATGCACAATGTCAGAACTCATATTTGTAACTGCCTGTAGCTGTAGTTAGTGTAGTTATTATAAACTTTGTTTGGTGGTGCACCTTATTTGTTTCCTTTGCTATATGTTCTTCGAAACCTATAGTGAAACCATCATTTCCAACTTTCTCGCCTCTCACCCTAGGCACAAACTACTCGACATCCTAGTTGGGCCTAGGCTCCTAAGCCTAGGCCCTAGTTAAACTTGATCTCCTTCCTACTATTTTCTCATGGTATCAGAGCGAGTTACGTCCTGGCCTGTGGGCCCGCCTCATGCTTCCGCTGCTACGTTTTTCCGGTCGCGCGCCTAGGGCGCGTGGCGATTTTCTATTGTCCCGCCCCCGGTTGGCGAGTGACTCCTACTCTGCCCGTCGCGCGCCCCGTGGCACGCGACGGTGCCCTAAACCTGCCCGTCGTGCGCCCCGTGGCACGCGACGGTGCCCTGCTCGTCGTGCGCCCCGAGGCACACGACGGTGCCCTTACCTTAAACTTACCTGTCGTGCGCCCCGTGGCACACGACGCGCCTCTCCGCACCTGCTCTCACTGCAGCCGCCCCTGACCTACCTGCGCCGACACATTGTAGCCGCTCTGCGGCTTTCTTCCCGCCCACCCCCTCCTCCTTTGTCTCCCTGCAGCCGTGGGGGGGAGGGTATGGGGGTGGCGGGTGTTGGAGCGTTGGGTCGTATCCTTCCCTTCCCCTCCTCCTCCTTTCGTTCCCACTGCTGCAGCTGCCGCTGGGGGGGAGGGTGTGAGGGTGTGGGGGAGACGGGGGAGTGGCACCGGGGTGGCGGGTGTGAGGCAACCAGCAGCCGTCCCTCCACCTCTCCTCTCTTCCCCCCCCTCTCTGCTGCTCCTGCAGCAGTGTGGGGGAAGGGAAGGAGGAGGGTGAGGAGATGGAGGGGGTGACCAGCTAGTGTTAGCCCGCCTGCAGTACCTGCTGTTGCTTGTTTATTATTTTGCATGTGTACCCCTGCAGGTTGTATTCTGCACAAACTCCTGATGCAGGCAGTTATGGGGGAGTGTCAGAACTTATATTTGTAATTGCCTGTAGCTGTAGTTAGTGTAGTTATTATAAACTTTGTTTGGTGGTGCACCTTATTTGTTTCCTTTGCTATATGTTCTTCGAAACCTATAGTGAAACCATCCTTTCCAACTTTCTCGCCTCTCACCCTAGGCACAAACTACTCGACATCCTAGTTGGGCCTAGGCTCCTAAGCCTAGGCCCTAGTTAAACTTGATCTCCTTCCTACTATTTTCTCACACAAGATCTCCGGCATCAGCACGGATGGCGCGAACGTCATGCTGGGCAGTCAGAATGGGCTGGTGGTTCAGCTGAAGATGCGAGTTCCGCATCTTGTCGCGTGTCATTGCCTTGCTCACCGGTGAGGTATTTTGCACTTCAAATTTTGCAGTATTGTTGTCAGATACATCTCCCCCTACTTACTTGGTTTTTTTTTCCATCATCTAACATAGAGGCTCTCGCAGCCAAGGATGCCGCGACGAACATCCCCGCCTTCAACATCGTCGACCAAGGGATCCGCGCCATCGCGACCCTCATTGGCGGAAGCTGCGTCGTCCACCAGAGGTTCCACGAGCTGCAAACCGTGATTCACGCCACGAAATTGGAGATGCAGGGGATTTTCGATGTTCGCTGGCTGTCGCGGGGCGATGCTGTTTCGAGACTTGTCGCTGTTCTGCCGGCTGCCATAGTGCTGCTCCACGAGAAAGACAGCACGACGTATCACCTGGTTACGAGCCTCAAATTTCATTTCTTTATTTTTTTTCTCGCTGATGTCCTAAAGGAATTGAACGAGCTCAACAAACGGTTTCAGCGACGATCGGTGAGCGTGTAATTAACGGTCGCCGATTTTGAAAGTCGCTCTAGTCCCGAATGTCAGTGATTAACATTGTGTTTGTGCGTGATGTCGCAGGTGGACATCACCCGTGTCATGGGGCAGGTGCAAAACACCTGCGCGAAGTTGAACGCGCGCTATGTGGAGTACGGGGTGAACCTCGCGGAGGACAGCGAGCACCTCACTGCCTTCCTCGAAGCGCACTCCCATCCGTCCAAGCGGGTGGTCCAGGTGGAGGGGATGGATGGAGACGGCAACGCCGTCAAACACACCTTCAAGCTGCACGAGCTGGATGCGAAGAAGAAAGAGGATCCCACGGGTGACGTCGAGTCCTGCGTGTCCCTCGCCACCCTGTTTGCGAAGGAGGTGATCGGCAGGCTACAGTACCGCATGCGAAGCTTGAAGTCACTCGTTGGGTCCAAGATATTTCTGCCAGACGCCTATCCGGATGGCGTGAACAAGCGCGACCGTCTGTGCGCGGAGTGGTTCAGCTCCCTTCGCAAGATGTTCAACGCCGAGCAGTGCGCTCTGCCAGGTACATGTTTTCAAATTCCGCGTTGTCCCTAATCCCTTGTTTGTGTAACGATCCATCTACATAGTGAGATGCTAACTAGATGTGCTGTGTGTGCTTGCAGGAGTCAACTGGAAGAAGGCCGAGCGGGAGCTTCCACGTTTCACCCGCGTGATGGTGTCACAGTACAAGGACCAATCCTTCCACGTGGCACTTAAGAACATGCTCAGGAGCGGGGATTGGGAGTCTTCTTTCCCCAATCTGGTTCGACTTTGGGTGGCAGTGGCTGTTCTTCCGCTCAGCACTGTGGAGTGCGAGCGAGGGTTCAGTCGCCAAAACGTAATCAAGTCGTGGCTCAGGAACAACCTCTACAATGCGCGACTCTCCGACCTCATGTGCATCTCCCTGCTTGACTACGAACCAGACTGGGATGACGTGGTGAAGCTGTGGCGCGGGGCAAAGAAGAGGCGCCCTGCCAAAGAAGTCAGTGGAGTGGCAACTGCGAAGCGCAGGGAGGCAGAGACGGAAGCCGCAGGGAGGCAGGGAGACAGGGAGGATCTAGCACCTAACACGACAGCTCAGAAGGCGCCGTCCAATGACGGCGGAGAAGCCAAGAGGAAGAAAGCCAAAACTCACGTAGTAGATAGCGACAGTGAGGATGAAGGAGTGGATGTGCGTGCAACTGTTACACTGAGTGACAATGAGGCATCTGACTCTGACTCAGATAGCTAGATAGTTATTCTTGATATGTTTTCTTTGTAGAGAATAGCTGTAGTAGTAGTTGTAGTTACAGTAGGGACGGTTTACAAAATCTGATTTTTAAGCCAAGTAATGTTAGAATTTCTGATGCGAAAGACAGGGGCGTGAAAAATTTCTGACCAGTCAGACGGGCCCGAAGGGCCCGTCTGACGCCTCAGGGGGGTTCAGAGACTAGCGAGGGCCCTGTTCCTATTTCAAGAAAGGCCACAAGGCCAGTTCAAGGATTCACAGAGAATACCGTATTCTCCCGGACATAACACCCGGGGGTATTATGATAACCACAGGGAAAAAAGGGGGGGGGGTCCTCTCAACGGAAAATCCTATATAATACCCGGGTGGTTATATATGGTATATTTTAATGCAAGAGGATTCTTTAATCAGACACTTTGGGTGTTTCAATGGTCGTTTTAACATCACAGTTTGAGGCGAGAATGTGAGTTTTGGCGAGAATGCGAGTTTCACCTTTCAGGCCACTTGCAGCGGAAGATTCGCCAGCGTGGCGACTTCCTAGAATGTGCGATGGGGGAAATGTCCACTTGCAGCGAAAGATTCGCCAGGGTGGCGACAGTGAGATTGTGGGAGGGGGAAATGTCGGCGGATTCTAAGTGCAAGTACACGCGAAATTTCATCTAGGAAGCAATTCTCGCGATATTCTCCTGTAAGGAATCAGACTCGATAACAGCTATAATAGGAATCCGTAAGAAAAGGGGGGTGTTATCGAAAATCATCCAAAAAGGGGGGTATAGTAGAAACGAGGTCGCCCATAGCACCCACCCCGCACAAGCTACCCGGGGGTGTACTATCATGGGGGGGTGTTTTGTCCGGGAGATTACGGTACAAGCCTACACAAGACGAGAACCTGTCTCAATGAGACCTTACTGCAGACAAAACATGTGGTGGTCACAAGGCGAAAGGGCCTTGGTGAAGATGTCTGCAGTGTTGGCCTCGGAGGCCATAAAGTCCAAACGAGCCTGTCCACACCTCTTCAACTCACGAAGCAGAAAGTACTCGACTTCAATGTGCTTCACTCTGCTCTCCAGTCAAGGCTCTCAACACAGGAGAATCGCCGCCTTGTTGTCAGTGAATAAGGTCGGTGCAGAGCTCGACCGCTCACCAAGATCAGTGAGCAAGAAGGTCAACCAACGAAGCTCCTGTGCAGCCATGGCTCCAGCGTAAATTTCGGCCTCAGCGGTAGAGGTCGAAACAGAGGAGGACCGAGTAGACCTCCACGACACATCTCCAGAGCCTAGACTGAAACAGTACCCTTGCGTGGACCTGTGAGTCTCGGAGTCGTCAGCTTAAGAAGAGTCACAGTGGCCAGTGAGCACGACAGGCTGTCTCCCTCCAAGCACCAGCCCCACGCCTGATGTCATCGCTAGGTACTTCGCCACCCTCACAACAGCTGTCCAGTGAACATGATGGTGTCTCACTGGCGCAACAAAGCGGGCAAGGGTGCTGAGAGGGAAGGCGAGGCAGCCCACAAGCTCTGAGTAAGGACCACTAGGCTCAAACGGCTCGTCAGGGAAAGGTCCAGTGAGTCTGTGGTCAACAGCAAGAGGAGTAGGATGTGTAGTGGAGAACTGAAACGCAAACCGCTGAAGGACCTGCTGCACCATGTTTGACTGGGTCAAAGTGATGGTGCAAGCTGCTCTGTCCCTGGTGATCTGCAGGCCAAGGTAGTGGCGCAGCTCACCAAGGTCAGTGCACGTGTGTCTGCTACCTTCTGCAGTTTGGACTTCACATCCGCCAAAGCAACCGTGTCAGCAGTGGCGAAGACCAGGTCGCCGACGTAGACCAGTACAAAGAAATGCGTGGAGCCGCGACGAACAAACAGCGATGGGTCGGCAGAAGACGGCTTGAAACCGAGGTCAGACAGGGTGGAGCGAAGAATGTCGTGCCACTCACGAGGCGCCTGACGAAGACCATAGACTAGACGTCTGAACCTCCACAGGGTCCTAGGAGGGAAAGTGCCCGTGAAGGCAGAGGGACAACGTAACCAGACCTCCTCGTGTGGCTACCCTGAAGGAAGGCGGTGGAGAAGTCGAGAGAGTGTACGTCTCTCTATCTTGCCACGTGAAGTAACACCCGAAGAGTGGTCATCTTTGGGGTAGGCGCGAAGGTCTGAAAGAAGTCAACTCTGTCGTGCTGGCTGAAACCTCTAGCCACATAACCTCTAACCTCATGAAGACTGGAGGAGGTCCCGGTGGCTGCTTCACCTTGAAGATCCACATGCTATCAACTACGTTCGCCCCTGGGGGGGGAACCTCATCGACGTAGGTGCCTGTGGATCTATAGGAGGCCATCTCTGCATCCATGGCAACTCTGCGTAAATGCGAGGAGTCGGTATGTCGAAGGCGTCGCGGTCTCCCTCAGAGGCGAGCAGCATGGCACATAGATGAGGCAAAGCGACTGCCAAGAACTCTAGCTCAAACTACCTATCCTCTAAGGCGTCACAGCCAAGGGCAAACCCACCCCCGACGGCTAGAGGATTGGTAGGAGGAGTAGTCACGACACGAGTGTCGTAGTCAAGGCGGCGAGTAGCGGCGAACTCATCGATAGTGGCTGTAAGGGCGGAGACTGGGGACAGAGAGGCACGAGGGTCCGTGACAAAAGAGGCGAGAACACGAGAGATAACAGGACAGTACGTGCGGTAGTAGTCAATGATAGGAGTAGGGAGGGAAGAAGTAAGGGCCGACTCAAGGGGAGAAGGAAGCAGAGACGGAGACGGACGAGGGGAGCTAGAACAAAACAGGACAGTACGAAGGTCAGTGACGGGAACAGGGGACGAGGGATGAGCACGAGGAGAGCGAGAAGCCCAAGTGTGAGAAAGAGGAGGGGACAACGGAGTTTGAGAACAGGGGAAAACAGCCGGGGTGGGGTCAGGAGGAGGAAACGTGGGACCGTAGACAGTAGGAGAGGGGGAGGAGGGAGGAGAAGGGGAGGGGAGACCAAGGGTCTGAAGGCCAGAGACAGGAGGCGGAGGCGGTCGATGCTGCTGCTGCGGTTGCTGCTCCTGCTGCTGCGTCTGCTGCTGCGGCTGCTGCTCCTGCTACGCCGGCTGTTGCGGCGGCTGCTGCTGCTGCTCCTCCAGCTGCTGTAGCTCCAGTTGCTGCCGCTCCAACACTAGCCTCTCTCGCTCCAACTCCAGGTGCTCCTCATGTGCACCGCGAAGAAGGGCCTGGTGCCGGGACGAATAGGGGTGGGGGGGAGGAGTAGTGTCTGGGGTAGTGTTAGCCCCAGCACCGCCAGCAGCAACGCGGCCAGTCCCATGATTTATAGGTGTAGCAGAAGGCGCACCCGCACCCCCAGTCGTAGCACCCCCAGTGACAGCTAGACGAACACTTGCTCCATGAAGACTAGAACCTCCTGCAGACACGGGCTCAGCTCCAACTCCAGCACCCCCAGCACCAGAACCTCGTGCAGGCACACACTCAGCTCCAACTCCAACACCTCCGGAGGCAGCACCTCCAGGGTGTGTACTACGGACATCAGGACCCCCAGGGTCTGCAGCAGCATGTGGAGGAAGTGCTGACGGCTGTTGCGGTGACTGTGAGGAGGACTGCGAAGAAGGGGATGGGACCTGAGGAGCTACCGGGGGGGGGGTGGGGGGGGGTAGCGTGTGACACACCTGACGGGGCTGGACCAGGGGGGGGGCTGTACCTGAGGAGCAGGAGGGGGAGTGGGAGTCAGGAAGAGAGGGGGAGGAGGAATGGGGAGACCTCGACAGGGGTACCAGGTGTAGTAGGGGACTGACTCGTCAAAGCTGACATCACAGGAGTCAAGAAACCGGTGAAGAGGAGGGTGATAGAAGATGAAGTTAGAGGAGTCCTTTAGGAAATCAAGGAAGACACAGGGAATGGCGCGAGACGAGATATTGTCTGCGGAGGTGTCGCGAACACGCGCCAAGCAGCCCCAGACACGAAAACGCAATGCAGCACCAAGAGACCTGGTCCAAAGTCTGGCCGGTGAAACCCCTGGCCAGGAGACACGTGGCCAGAGGTTCAGCTGGTGAGCAGCGTACTGAACCGCGTAGGGCCACAGAAAATGGGGCGCATGGGTGTGGATCATGGAGGTGCGTGCAATCTCCATGATCAAGCCTATGCAGCGCTCATGAACTCCATTCTGCTGTGGGGACTCTGGAAGCATCCAAGACTTGAGGATGCCCTGCTCACGACAGAATCCGATAAGGACGCCGGAGCGAAACTCACCCCCACGGTCAGAGTGTAGACAACTGACACGACGGTGACGAGTAACCTCTGTGGCGAGCAACCACCGGATCAGCGCAGAAGTCACGTCG